GAAGAGGTCATCCAGAGTCAACACCCGCGCTTCCTTGTAAAGAATCAAGCAAATATTTATTCGCTCCAAGCATAGCATCTGCTCTCTTTAAAATTTACAGGATCGCTTAGAACCTGGGGGAAGCAAGGGTGATCTAGTATCTGCTAAAAAACCGAACCTTTCCCCTATGGGGAGGCTTGTTCCATCTGTGGTATTGCCTATTCGGAAGGCTTTTGGCTGTCAGGGGAAATTTACGTAGATCTGATCTAAAAAAAACATCTGATCCATAAATATTGAAAAGTTCGTAGATTTGTGTACCTTTTCGTGAAAAAGAAAAAAGTTAATGAATATTTCGTGGAAGATCGATAATAAATCGGCGTTACATCCCCAGAATTTCTCAAATTTGGTGGGCCCTTTATAAACATCCAAACGCAATACAGGAGTATCATGAATACGAGCTTGTTCGGTAATTTACCTCATCCAGGTTGGAACCCCCTCCCCAGCAGATGTGTATATAAATAATTCACCTCTAGTGGTATCTAGATTGTGCGATGCCTTTTAAATTACTTGAAGATCTTATCAATCTCTGATCCAAACGTTTGATGTGCGATGACCTCATTTGATTGATTAAAAAATAACAATGCGCTAATCAGATTTATTTTCCGAGATCAAATGATATTTTTTCAAATCATATGACAAATTTTTCAGATTTCCTCTGAACCTTAAAAAATAGAGACAAGTGACCACAGGCGGCCCATGAAACTGAACCGAATCCGAATAAAATCGAATGATGGTGTGCAAGCTAGTTCTAGAATTCTGGTCATGAAATTCTACAATTTTGCTCAGATTGTAAAATCAAAAATCATGAAGCTTTCACACATACTATGGGAAATGTTGATATAAATATCACACACACGGAACACTACAACTACTGGATCATGAACTTCTGAGATACTTGCAGGTACTTTTCCAGTAAATATGTGCTACTCTGTATAAGCTTTCCAGTCTGGCAATTTCAATTGCAGCAAATCTCCTTCAAAATAGTTCAAGTCAATTTCTGATAACTAAGATCATTGCGTTCTATGCTAGAAGCACTTATTTCAATATATGAAGAAGATTGTTGGTTTAAGAGTGCATGAAGGTAAACATCTGCCGGGGTCTATTGTGTATACTAAAATAAAATCTCCAATTAAAATCTTGAGATGTTTTTTTTTTCGCAAAATTTGCAGCCAAAATAAAAGTTCCAGCAAAAGCAAGAAAATTCATACTTCATCTACAGTAAATGCCCCTAAATTCAATGACATAACACTTCTGGAACAAACTCCCCTCTTGTATTTCTCACTCAACCCAATATACTTGTGCTCTTATCATTTCTTGTAAAAAAATGTGTGTTTCCTTGACGAATTACTACAATTAATACCAAAGGGTATCTATGACTTTATAACCCCAATTGAATCTCCAATGAAAGAGGAAGGCTAAAAAGAGTAAGGGTCTATAACGCTTCAAAGCTATAGTAATTAATACTTTGATAAGAGAATTATACGTCCACGCCAGGTTTGGAAAAGATTTTTCACAACAAACTTGTTAAAAAATACCAATTCCGAACAATCTTCGTCTTGAAAGTATATATAAACAAGAACTTTGCTTCATTAGCAACCACATCCATTAACGATAGGTTCAAAATTCAAAAAAATAAAGGAGATTCCGATACCGGGAGTCGAACCCGGGTCTGCTCGGTGAAAGCGAACCGTGCTAGCCGTTACACTATATCGGATTTTCTTGATTTTTTATTTCTGATTTTAAGTCCGGTCATGTGAAACCCACGTGAATTCCGCGTGAGTTTCACGTGATATTTCTCATTTTGTTAGTATGTTATCGCTATGGGGAATTCCTTTAATTCAATCTTCTAACACAATGAACTGAGGATTCAATTAATCTGGTTATCTCTTATTGGAGAGATGATATGTGAAACCATGTTGGGGTTTTAGATGATACTTGATGTTGGCTGTCATCTCTTTAACCTGAAAGATTATTTACCCTTGGAAACCCAGGACCCGTCACATACAAGGAGAACATCAATGTCAACAATTTTGCATATAAATATACGATTACCCAATCTACTTAAAGAGATACCACTAAAACAGTTGTTTAGCTTAAAAGGATGTCTTAGGTTCAAGAGAGAAAATAGAGGAAAAATCGATTGAAGATGAAAAAGCAACTGCTTTTGACACTTTTCTGGAGAGACATTACCGTCTGTTTCTTCAATAATCTGTTAAGAGCGTTGGACTAGGATATCCTACAGAGCAGTAGGATTTATAAAGAGAGGTACGTTTGTTTCCAAGTAAGCCCTTTTCTTCAAATCACTTTGTTGAATACTTGTCTGGGGGAAGAAAAAAGTAATTCTCCCGACCATCTCTCTAAAATAGACAATACCAAGTACCTTAAGATACAAATATATGAAAAAATGACAAATATCCAAATCGAGGAAGCCAGATAGAATGAAAGGTTGCATTATATTTTTTTGTCTGATTTTTATCGACTAAAATTGTTTACCACACAAATTTTCGCAGCCATTCGAAAATTACCAATTTTCAATCTTGAGGAATTGATTCAACTGAATATGAACTTGAATGAATATTAGTTTCGAAAGACAGCATAGGCAGAAGCTATCCTTTGGAAATAGATACTTCATATATGACATTATGGACTCAATTGCCTGGTGGTTTTATGCTCCATATTTGTAATGGGGCCATGTATATCACAGAGAGGCAAGATAAAAGATAATTGAAATGTTTACTTCAAGAAACAAGCTTTACTAACTGAGAAATTCGATCTATCGATATATATTATGAATATATATATTTATATTCTATAGGGCTCTGAAAGTATCCATGCTGATTTGGTGAGGTCCACTTCTTGATGTGAAGCTACGGCAACAGACCCATCGTGGGTTGGCAGCTTCAGAGGCAACCGAGTCCATGTGGGCCCAAAGGGAGTTCAAACGTCCACGACATATAAGGGGAATGTATCTAACAAAATCTATCCAAACGCAACACTGTTGATCTTGTTGTTACCATGTTTGGTTTTCATCTTTGGTTAAGCTTTCAAACAACATGGCCCGAGTTATATATATTTCTACTCGGGCATACTAACAGGATAGAGTAAAATAGGAGATCCGACCGCAACTTCACACGTCGTTACGCCAAACTGCAATCAATTTGTTTGTGATGTAGAATTCTCTATCTTGAATTTGAGGAATAAAAGCCTCTCTCTATTCAATCTTATTGGAAGGAGCACTGGGGAAAAATCCTTCTTGCTGCATCTTTTCCGATCTTTCTTTATTATATTTCTTCTTTTGATGCAACATTAATCTACTCTTATACATGGCATCATGTAATTTATATAATTTAAATTTATATTGCTTAATTTGATTGGTATTCTTTTCCAAATCAACTAAAACTTCTTTCATTTCATCTTTTAATTTTTCATATTTTGTCTTTTCTGATTCTTTTGGATTATCTTCCTTTTTCTTCCAATAATCAGATACTTTATTCCAAAGATATGGAGATTCTACTTCGATATCTTTATCCAATTTTTCTTTCTTTTTCATTAATTCATCTTTTGTTTTCATGAGTTCAAGATAATCAGGTTGATGAATTGGTGATGCAAAGTTCTCGTCTTGTAGATGTTGAGGACAGACATAAAAGAAATCTAACTTATTTTCACATAACATTACTGTCGTCGTTGGTTTATAACAAATGGTACATGATTTAGAATCACTGGATGCTACCAATTTAACTTGATATTTATTAGGGAAAAGAGGAAGGATCTTACTCATGACGATTTAGATTTATTTGAATAGATCCTTAAATTTAGGATGTTCAAAATTGGTAGTGGTAGGATGGAGGTTGGACTGGGACGAGTGAAGCATTGAAGATATAGAATTTATGTGGTGGGGAAAAAATCCACATCAAAATGAAACTTGTTTTCTGCAACACACTTCAAATTGTCTCTTTTTAGATAAGAACAAAATGGACACAACATAAGACGAGATTACGAGTTGGAGCTTTGTTAAAAGAGTACCAGATGATAATATCCATAGATTAGTATGTCATGACAATGATTCGAATCGCTGACATGGTCACCCTTTTTTTGCATAGGCATGATCTCGTTCCGGACACAGAAACCGTGGAAACCGGCAATCCTTGAATGATCTCCAAGAAGGGTAAAGATACCTAAGTATATATCAGTCTTATTTGATCCAGAAGATATCCAAAATGTTGTAGCTTTTGACTTTAAACGTGGCGATATCACAATCTGGTTATGCTATAGCTTCAGAACAAATCACGTGCCACATACAAGCCTCAGACAAAGATTCGCCTCTTTGGACCAATCAAGATTCAGAATTGCCACCCAAGAAAAAATAAAATATTAAGGGGGGAGTGGGAGATGAGTGAAAAAAAAATTATGAAACAGCAAATCAGTTTTAGACGACCATAAATACAACAAGAAAAAAAAAGTTTAATCAATAGCGCATCAATTCTACGACATACACGTAAATTATTGAGATTCATTATGTAATGGTTGGTGATTATACGCTCAAGAATTGAAGAAAATACAAACCTACATGCAAATGCTGGTGGGTTTCCTGTAGGAACAATGTGTCTATATTGAATTTGAATAATTGGTACCGGCTCTCGCCATCCTTCCTGGTTTGTTTAAAAGATAACAACGATACCAAAAAAATGTCGTCATTTTTTATTTCTTTTTTTGGGATTTTTGGTTTCTCCGTTTTATTTCTCTCATTTCCCTCATAGTTAGAAGCCTTTGATACAACCAAAGAGAAGAGAGAGACATTTTTCTAAATTTGTCTTTTTTTTTTTTTTTTCTCTCATTCTCTTCCTCGCTCAGACTCTCTCTCTTTTTTTTTTTTTTATTTCTGGCTCATTTTCTCTGAAAAAGGATAAACAACAACCCACTTTTGTTTTTTTCCCCTTTGGAATTTTGTTTTTTTTTTGGGTTTTTTTAATTTATAATCAAACATTACACACATTAAAAACATCTAGACTCATCCCTAATCAATCTATCAAAGTAAGGTCAACTCATTCACTCATCAAGACCTCTTTATTTACATCAACACATATACACAACACCACATTTTTTTTTTGTTTGAATTATTGCAATAGTTAAACAACAAAAAACCAACATTTTCTCATTTTTGAAGCAAAGAAAAGAAAAAAAAACAACAGCAAAACCAAATTAAACTAGGCTTCCTATCAGCTACTCATCACATCACACATATACATATACATATATACTTTAAATAACCATGTCGACTGATCATCAAGAGGCTGATATCGATTCTATTGTTGATAGATTATTAGAAGTAAGAGGTTCAAGACCAGGTAGACAAGTCACACTTTTAGAACATGAAATTCGTTATCTTTGTACAAAGGCAAGAGAAATTTTTATTCAACAACCAATATTATTAGAGTTAGAAGCTCCAATAAAGATTTGTGGAGATATTCATGGTCAATATTATGATTTATTACGATTATTTGAATATGGTGGATTCCCACCAGAAGCAAATTATTTATTTTTAGGAGATTATGTTGATCGTGGGAAACAATCACTTGAAACTATTTGTCTTTTATTAGCTTATAAAATTAAATATCCAGAAAACTTTTTCATCTTGAGAGGTAATCATGAATGTGCATCCATTAATCGTATTTATGGTTTTTATGATGAATGTAAAAGAAGATATAATATTAAATTATGGAAGACTTTTACTGATTGTTTTAATTGTTTACCAATCGCAGCAATTATTGATGAAAAGATTTTTACCATGCATGGAGGTTTATCACCAGATTTAAATTCAATGGAACAAATTAGAAGAGTAATGAGACCAACAGATATTCCTGATGTTGGTTTGCTATGTGATTTATTATGGTCAGATCCAGATAAAGATATTACTGGATGGTCAGAAAATGATCGTGGTGTTTCTTTTACATTTGGTCCTGATGTTGTGAGTAGATTTTTACAAAAACATGATATGGATTTAATTTGTCGTGCTCATCAAGTTGTTGAAGATGGTTATGAATTCTTTTCAAAGAGACAATTGGTTACATTATTCTCAGCTCCTAATTATTGTGGTGAATTCGATAATGCCGGGGCGATGATGTCTGTAGATGAAAGCTTATTATGTTCATTCCAAATCTTAAAACCAGCTGATAAGAAACCAAGATATCCACCTTCTAATGTCGCTAATAATAGACCAGGAGCGGCAGCAAGAAAACCAAAAAAGACAGGAAAGTAAAACCTGAGAATGACATAAGGGAGCATAGCAAGCAATTACAATACACAACAACAACAACGACCATTTATTATTGACTACACACCACAACAATTTTTCAAACAAAACTTCATCAATCTTATTTAATTATTATTTTTATTGCATCTGTACATTATTAAGTTTATTTTTTTTTGGTTTTATCAGAAAGTTCGTTCATTCTTACCACCATAAACAACCACCAATCCAATTATTTTTATTAGCCATATTTAATTCCCATCCATTTTTTGAGAGATTCTTGACCTTTTTGTTTATAATTTTAGAATACGACATAAGAGAGAGAGAAATGGTTTTGATTATTATTACCTTTTTTATACTATTTTATAATAATTGATTTGAAAAGGGGGGATGGTGTTAAGGTTTCATCACATTTTATTTTTGTATATATAGACAGAAAACAAAATTTCATCAGAAAAGGAAGTAATATTAATTTTCACTACAAAAAAACATCATCATTGTTCATCATGAAAGATCATCATCAACATATGACTATTTTTGCTACTATATATAGATTTATATAGTTTCGTCTTTTTCCATTCTTCTTCTTCTTGTTCTTCATTGTTTGATTACGTTTCTTATTTTTTTTTTGGATGTTTTTCTTTTGGAGTATTTTTTTTTGCAACCAATTTTATTTATAGGGTTATAGAAGAAAACAAAAAAGAAAGAGAGAGAGAAAGAAAGCAAATGATGGGACGGTCCTTCCGGAATGTCTTCGGTGGTATCTAATGAGAAGATGGTATTTTCAAAAAATTTTTAGTTGATGATAATATGTGGTGATGGTTTGTATGGGGTTATTGATCTTTGTTTTTGGTTTTTTTTATATGATGGATATGGGATTTTGTTGGTCAATCATTATTTTTTATTTGCTGTCTAGGTGGTATGTTTTATTCGAATTTGATGATTATTACTACAATTTGGCGTGGAGGTTTTTAAAGTTGGTTGAAAGGAAGAATTGCTGTTTTTATTTGAATCGATAATCTTTAAGAAAGGGATTTTTTTGTTTGGTTATTTTTGTTTGGTGTTAGTATTATTATTTTACGACTGTTGTTGGCTGTTACTGTTGCTGTTATTCTAGGCTTCTGTTGTCATTATGCTCTGTATACTTTTCTGTGTTTTTAAATATAAAGTCCTATAGTTTCTATTTCAATATATTTGTTTTTTAATGTTAAATGTTTGCGTAGAGAGTCCCGCCAAATTCGGGATCCCGGCTATTATTGTTCCTCTAAATAGCCTCTCTTCAAATAACGGAAATATCACTCCGTGAATCACATTCCAAAGTGGCGAGTGCCACAAGACTGCCTTAGAGCAACCTGATAAGCGAGTTGCTCCACTCTTCCAGAAAAGGCACAATAGCCGGATTAAGGCTTAGATGCCAACTACATTGCATAGAGCTATAGATGTTCAAGTATTTGATTACAAATACTTGTTGCAGCATCAATTTGACGTCAATTGATGGACTGAATTACAGTTAAACGTCGCTAATTGACGAATATTGCTCATCTAAGATACAACATTTCAGTAAGAAGGGCAGAAACACTATGCTGATTGGCCCATTCTACAAATATTTCTCTCCATACCATATTAGTGGCGTGTGGGCATCGAGAAATGAATATTTGTAACTGTATTTCCTTTAGCTCATAATACCCATTGTAGGTGTTTTGTATATCCTTAGATATCTCATACTAGAGATTGGCTGCAAAATATGTGTGTAAAATATCAATTTTGAAATATTGGTAACACACACGACCTTTGAATTAGAAAAATATTTCAGAAAAAAAGCAGTCACAAATTCACGTGATCCAGTATTTTTCTAGTTTGCTGCGATTACCCGGTATTTCTCGTCTTCTTTTCTTGACCTAATTACACTACTATACATACATTCAATTTCCGCCTGCACACTACTTTCTTTACGCAAAAAAAAAGCAAAAATCAATGAACCTCAATTTAGAGTCGTTTGGGAAAAGACAAAAAAAAAAATTTTCAAGCTTTACATTTGATACAGTTTTAGGTTCTAAGTATAGATTGATAACGACAAAATGGTATGTTCAACTTGCCATATAACAATTCAGGATATAATAGAGAATGATCGCGGAAAGAAGCCTCTTGTGAACTGATTGATTGATGACTAGAAAACCACGAATTCGAGGTTGATTTGAAAGGGTGCCCCCGAGATGTCAAAAATTAAGGGGATCCATTAAATGGATGGCAATTTTAATACAAGAATATTCTACAACAACTAAGTAAGGTAATCGACTTCAAGTTACAGTTTCACAAGCAACTACAAAGAAATACTTGAGACATGAGCCTGATCGTCGTAGATGAGGAACTACGCCAATTTTTATTGAATTCACCTTCAGTGAATGAGAATAGCAAAGGAGGACTCAGACCCATTTCAAAGCGAGAATTCTCTAATTCATACCTTGAGAATACGCATCGTATTCAAAAAAGTACATTAGATTACTAACATTAATTTTTTTATAGGTTTTAGTTCAAGATTTATTACATCCATCTCCAGCTACTGAAGCTCAACAACACAAATTAAAGACCTTAGTCCAAGCTCCAAGATCTTTCTTCATGGATGTCAAATGTCAAGGTTGTTTAAACATCACCACTGTTTTCAGTCATGCCCAAACCGCTGTCACTTGTGACTCTTGTTCTACCGTTTTATGTACCCCAACCGGTGGTAAGGCTAAGTTGACCGAAGGTTGTTCTTTCAGAAGAAAGTAAACTTTTTAGAAAATCATTTGAAATAAAAAGGGGAATAGAAATCCAATAAACACATACATACATATAAGAAAAAGCATGTTGGGTTTTTTTGTTTCTTTATTATAAAAAATTTATATGGTTTTGTTTTTGAAAGGTTCAATTTATTCTTGAAGAAGATGAATGTATATTATGCATTGTTCATGGTGTCAATTTATTAATTATTTTTTTTGGATATAGAAGGTGGTGGTTACTTATTATATATTTAAAGTGAAGCTAGTTTCTATATTTGTATCATAGGGTGGGTCCTTTATAATCTACACAAACTTTTTGTATTTAATACACAAAAAATTTTCGTTTTGAAATGAAATTAAATTATAGACATTTGTAGAGTGCTCTGTCGTACTGATTGCGATATTTACCTCTATTGTGTGTACAACAGCGACCATTTTTACGGGTTGCAAATTGTACCTAAAGCACCAATTTTCGTATCGCAGTTCTCAGATGTAGGAATATTACCTCTATCGTACGCATGAGAAAGAGCAAGAAAGACAGGGTCAACGAATCCCCTGACCGCTTATATAATTAGAGTGCTTGTCCGTATGACAGGACGTGTTGGTACCCGCTTTGACTATCTGAAATAGCGGTAGGGGACGACTTCAATTTTGCAACAGGTGGTGGATTGTCACACGCCTCAACGGAAGTATCGAATCTAAGCTAACATGCGAAGACTAGGCTTAGGCTTCCTCCAAGTGCTTACATAGTATTACAGCTTCCAGTGGCATATTGCAGGTGACCACCAAAAAAGCACAGTTTTAAATTTTCCACAATTTTCTAACAACGGAAATTTTTGACAGTCAAAAATAAAAATCTTGTCAAAAACCTCGGCTTACGCAAATTGCTGGAAAATATAATCAAAATTTTTGCAACTTGTATCATCTAACATCGTATTATTATACTCATAACTATAAACTTTAAATCACTCTATATAAAAAGACAAAGATAAAACATGTGTGATTAAAAGGCAAAGGGGCATTAATGGTTAAAAAAAGCATCAACAACTACAACTTACTCTTTGAATGGAATCTAACAACTTCATCAATAGCTTTTGCGACTCTATCCACATTATTTTCATTCAATCCAGCAACTGAAGCTCTACCACTACTTACCAAATAAATACCGTGATTCGTTTCTAATCTTGCAACCATTTCTTTGGATAAACCAGTGAAAGAAAACATACCAGTTTGACTAGTGATATGATCCCAAGTACCTGGAGTACCTAATTCTTCTAATTTAGAACGTAATGCATTTCTCATTTTATGAATACGACTTGACATTGTGACTAAATCTTGTCTCCATTGATCATATAATTCAGGATCATTAAGAATTGTAGCAACAATCTTAGCACCATAAGCTGGAGGATTTGAAATTTCTGAACGAGTAATCTTATTCAATTGAGATCTTACGGCTTTATTCAAGGATTCATTAGTTTCCAATTGTGGAATAACATGGACAGCACCGACACGTTCACCATACATACCACAATTCTTAGCAAAAGATTGACAAATCATAATTGGAGAAGAAATTATCTTTTCATCAATGGCATATCTAATTGCCCAAGCATCATTATCTAAATCACCACTAGCAAATCCTTGATAAGCGGAATCAAATAATACAAGATGTTGACCCTTTTCCAACTCTGCTAAGATTTGTTTCCATTGATCTCTAGTTGGATCTAAACCGGTTGGGTTATGAGCACATGCATGTAATAAAAATACACAACCTTTTGGAGCAGATTGAATAGTTCTTAAATAACCTTCTAAATCTAAAGATTTATTATGATCATTCCAATATGGATAACTCTTAACTTCAAAATCTAAAGTTTCAAAAATTTGTTTATGATTTGCCCAAGTTGGTTGAGAAACATAAATAATATGTTCACCTTGATAAAATTCTTTAATAAATTTACCAGCAACATGTAAAGCACCAGTACCTGAAAGTGATTGCATAGAAATAACTCTATTTTCAGCAATAGCAACTGAATCTTTACCTAATATAACATTTGCAGCCGATTTAAAAAATGGTTCAAATCCACTAATACCCAAATATTCATGATTATAATCAGGTGAATTTATTAATTTTTCTTCTGCTTTTCTAACAGCTGGTAATATCCAAGGTTTACCATTGTTATCTCTATAAGCACCAATACCCAAGTCAACCTTGGATGTACGTGGATCAGCAACATAACGTGCCTTTAATCCAAAAAGTGGATCAGGTGGAAGTTCAGTAACACCAGCAAATCTAGTCATAGTATAGTTGTTTAAATATGCGTGTGATAAATAACAAAAAATGTCAAATTATAAATAAAATAAAAAACTGTAATTCGAAAAAGACTGTCAGAATTTCAACTCCTTTTTAAAATAAAGATAAAAGTTCAAAGTAAACAGAGAATCGGACAGAATATCAGAAGACAGAAAAAATTCAAGAAAAATGATAAGCAAAAGAGATATTTAATGACATTTATAGTTTTTTTCTAATACCGTATATCAAAATATTAGCACAAAAAAAGAAATCTCCTTTAATGCGATGAAAAAAGCGGTATAAAATAAGACTTTCGAATATTTTTTAACGTTTTATGTGTGTCATACGACAAAATAATAATTTCGCCCTTCGGAAGAATTGTAAAAAAGAAAGCAAAAAAAAAGGAGGGGGTGAAATTAAGCACCATGCGAGATGAGAGAAAGAAGTTTGTTATAATTGCCATTTGGTCCTTAATGCCGAATAAGAATAGATCCAGACAGACATTTTTTTAGATTTACATTTTCAGAGTTTCATGTCGTAACAGTTTAGACTGGTGAAGTCATCGTTGTATGTCTTACAAATCATATGTTTTTTTAATCACCGAGATGACGATATGATTATTAAATGATTTATTTTCGGCAACGGGACAACTTCTTCTTTCACCTTCTCTAGCACAAAGAAAAGGGGGGAGGGGGCGTGGGGGTGAGCGCTTTTGAGATCCCGCCTGCATAGATCTTTCACCACCAACTTTTAAAGTTACCGGTGGTAACAATAGAAAATGACACACTAGAAAACTTTTTTTTTCTCTCGCCCATTCTTTGTTTAAATATTCTCGGTAGGATGTAGTTACTCCACACTCCGGCGCCATTATTCTTATTATTGTCCTTTCCTCTTTCAGTTATGCCTGGATTCGCTCAAGTTGGTTCCAGATCTTGACATGCGCTACAAGAAAATATTATTCGTAAAGGCTTTGATTAATAACTGTTGGCTCTGGCTCTTATGACCGGTATAAACCTAAATTACCTTCCTTCTTTTCTGAATCTAACGGGGCATTGTTTTACGAATAAAGAACGCATGTTTCCATCTGCTGTTTCCAGCATCCCATAAAAAATCCCTCCGTCCGGACCGCGGCAATATCTTCATCAACCGCTTTATCCCGACCTCCACAATTTTCTCCAGATTTTATAATTAAGAAATTAGTTTTTCATTCATAAATAAGATTTCAATCCCAGATGATAATCAGCTTCGTTGTGACGTTGTGCTCCATATCATAGCTGTATTACCGCTTCTTTATAGAAGGATGTTATCCCGCCTCCCAACCATTTGTCAAAATTTTTTTTTTCTTGGAAGAGAAAAAAACTATGTTTGTCGGAGTTTGAAGCTTCTCGCTTAAATTCCTTAGTTTGGCGATCAAAATTGCAAGAGCATCTGAAAAAAGAAATGCCGTAAACCGAGGCGAACTACAAAGGGCACATATTCTCGTTTTACATTTCATAACCGTTAGGATTTCTTTTAAAACCATTTTCCACAGCTGGGAGAATAATACCACAACTGTCGCTAACTCCTGTTATTGGTAATAAGTTACATTTTTCTTGAAAGCTTGTTGCTAATTGTAAGTTGCGCATGAAGGGAAGTTTCGGAAAAAAAACAGTTTCCCCTCGGAGGGGAGTTTAGTACCGTCGCTTAAAGTCTTGGGTCAGTAGATTTATTTATTCTCGTCTCTCCCTCGTTGTGGCTAAGCCGAGGTATATGATGAGTACATGTATGTAGTACTACCATAAAACGGCCATTGGAACAAAGAATCCAGGTTTAAAATATACAACCAAATTTTGCAGGATTTTCTCGTAATTATATATGGACAACTATTCAGCAGTCTGCAGTCAAACTGTCAGCATGAAACTCTAATTCGCAACCCAGAGCAATGTCATCAATTCATTCAAAGAACTCGCCATGCTTAAGTCCCTCCCCCAGAGTTTCTAGATAGTCACTTCGAATTTTGGAGAAATGGTTCAGACTATTTTCTTATTAGCTTTCTTTGAATCTTATTTATCCATAATGGTTGGACATTACCTAGTAATCTTCCTGGTATTCCTGTGTCCACCTCCATTGAATAGTGGGAAACCAAGAGAGGAGTAGAAGATTACTACCGACATGACTTCGAAGATGTTCACAATTCTTCATCTATTTGAATTGGCAAAAGTCTTCAATTGCATCAGGAGCTTTATGTCAATCGGAGAAATCAACTGTAATAAACAGATTTTTGAACAATCATATTCTATGACTTAAACAAGTGGTAGACAATCAAAAGATTACGAACATCATATCAAACTCTCGTCGTATAGTAAACAGCCAGACCGTTTACCGGTTTCAAGAAGCATGAGCTTGAAACTAATAACAATAAAACTCGAAAGCTTCTTCGAATTTCGCACAGCTTCAACGAAATTAGATAGATAAGAGATCATGCCATTTACACGCACACCCTGTCCTTCTTGGCAAGTGGAAAACGTCAGCACTGACATAAACGAACACTCTAGAGCCCAACGGCAGGTCGAACCTCTTTCGTTTAACGGGTAAACTTATATTATCCAAGCCACGATTTTTTTGAACAGAATTCTTAGTGACAACAAATTTCCACAGAAATAAAGTATCCATAGACAAAGAGATAGACACACAATGAAAAGTCCGATCCTATATATTAAGAAGCTTTCCTTATGCAGCAAGACATCTTTTTATAACAAACTATAAGTCTAAAGAACTATTTATACAATGTTTTATTAGTGTTTTCAGACGACAGATTGAACTTCAAAGAATCTCTTCAAGTAATAGATTTGGAAAATAGAATTAGCAGCAACAACAATAATTTGGAACACAGACCACCATTTAACTCTTGAATTAGTTGATTCGGCAGTGTTTCTATGTGTTCTTTCTCTAATCACTAAATAAGTTTGTTCAGCCTTAACATCATTTGTCAATTGACTTAATCTTTGTATAGCATAATCCAAAGTATCCAGCTTAGGATCACTTACATCAACATATACAACCCCATGAATATTGAATGAAACATCCAAATCAACTCTGGCAGTTTTTTCATTTGAAAAACAATAAGTATATTTCCCAGCATCCAGAGCCCTAATTGATTCATCACCATGATCTATATCAACTTTTTTAAGAAGAGTTTTCCCCTGTGGTGAATTAATGTAGAAATCAACAGTATATTGTTCTGCATTATGGGGGTTACGGGATCCAACTTGGAAACTAATTGCCAATTCATCATTCTTGTTTAAGTTTTCAAAGAAACATTGTTTACCATAAGGTGCAATTAATACATTATGTGCAGTTGCAACTGATATTAAAAATAGAAAGTATGTCAAATATTTCATCTCTTTCTTCTCTCTTTGATTGATTTGGAGTTGTTTTTAAATATGGCTTCCTATTACTAGCCGTTCTTAGTGTGTGTGTATAGTAATGTGTGTGCTGATCTGTTCACTTTTTTTTTTCGCCCAATTGAAATTTTTTTTTGCTTTGGTTGCTTTTTTTAGTTAAATTTGAAACTATAAACAAGCACTTATTCACGTTCTACTATTAGATGATAGAACGTTCATCACGTGTACATTCCCTACTTAAGTACTCAAAGGTGGAGAGATATGATCACTTGATTTATTAGTTGACTGCAAAGTTGAAGCTCAAGTAAGATCATGTTCCATTGATTGGTTACCCGGCCGACAGCAGTATTTAATTCATTCGCTACCAGGTGTAAGTATCCAAATTGGCTGCTAAATATTTTTATTCTTAAAGTATTAACGCAATATACACATCATCTATGTGCAATAATCTCAGAATGGGCATGGGGAAATAAGCTGTCATACCTTACAAGCAACCATTCCTTCCTACAAGGATTACCCATTCAGCAATGCTATTTGAAGAGTTTCTGGCTTATGATTTTTCCTGATATGGCATGCTTCCTAGCAAAGAAGTTTTATCAGATATTATCAACGAATACTCAATGACCTAAAGGGAAAGAAAACAATAAAATCCATGTATATACCACACTGCTATTACAAAGCTCCAACTCTATATGTAATACAAATATATATTAAATTGCAAAAATACAAAAGCTGACAATCAATGCAATTTGAAAGTACATCTTTTCCAGTAGCATTCCGGCAGATCCTTCGAAAGTCTCAAAAGAAGGGGTTGGCCTCATAGGAGCCGACCCCAGAGTGTCCCCTGTGACAGAAGATTCAGAGTTTAGTTCCACTGATGGTTTAACCAGAGAATTTCCAGCGACAAGTGTTTCAGCCACGGAATTTCTGCTGACTGATGTTTCGTGTTGTGAGTCTTTAGCAATGGAAGTTTCATCTTGAAAATTACCTGAAACTGAACGTTCTGGACTTGTGGTTTCGTCATCCCCATATGCCGACTCCTCGAACCCTGGGAGGGTAGTCTCGTTGTATTCTAGGTCGGCACTAGTAGTTTCATATGATTCTGAACTGTCCAATGTAGTTTCTGGGGTGATTTCTATCCCTGGCGCAATAGTCGGAGGCAAGCCAGGACAAGTACAACGACAAGTTGAACGTACTTGAGCATCAATGATCCCATTGTATCTAATAACGTAGTAATCCCCTTCTATCTTACCTTCAAATCCATCTGTTTCATAACCTGGTCCGAAGGTTACTTCTAAATATCTTCCATTTTCGACTGCTAAATAGTTCCCTTCTGTATTAAAGATAAAAGTTGGATCCTCGTTGTAGAACCTAATTTTCAAAGAATGTTGGGAACCAAAATTAACAACTTCTATGCCTGAGTCTTCTTCGAGATACAACTCAGTTTTATCCCCCGGATCGTCTGAAAGGCAAAGGACAGGTCGGATATTAACACCATTATTGATGAAATTAGTATCTTCAAGAATATAGCAACCATTACCAGTATCGAGTCCAGAGTTGTAAATAGTTGCACCCTTGGCACAAACTACCCCATTGTTAATTGTACCAGAACTTTCAAATATAATGTTCTCTGGACTACCAACTATGTAAACATCTTTCAAATTTAGGAAATTTTCTGGAATGTTTATGAATAAGAACCCTTCATTGTTTAAGTTCTGGAACCAGAGATAACCTTGATTTACAACTTGGGGTCCTAACTGAAGTTCTAGAGATTCATCTCCCATGGCTGCCATCACATGAAGGTTACCCAAATTAAGAGCGTTTTGTATTCGGAAGACTTCTGAAGCAATTGACGTATAGTAGTAAAAGTCGTTATTAAAATAAGCACCATTTATGGAAGTGTAGTCCGAGTCAAGAAGTGAAAATAAAGCATTAAACTCGGCCTCATCCTCCAAGCCTCCTTGCAACTCCAATCGACCTCCTATTTGAATTACATCTTCGCTATACACAATAGCACAAGAAGCTAACTGCAGGATTGTCACCAATAACGCAATTATGAAGTGAATACCATGCATTTTGTCGCAAAATCAGTACACCAATGACACAAAATTGAAGAAGCTAGTTACAGTACTTCAATCTACTGTGTTTTGTTTATGAAATGTGTCAAAATGTTGACATCCCAGATTAGTAATTTCTTAGAAAATTTTGAAAAGTGAGCTTCTAAATTCTTGGCTTCATGTAATTGACTGTGATTTCTCAGTTCAATATTTCGGACATTTAAGTCCTTGAAGTGGTTGTCCTAGTTATTTTGGATGGGTCCTACTTCTATAGGCGACTTTCAGTTCATTCTCATTCTTCATAGCATTGTTGAAAATGTTATTGACACTATATGCAAGGAAGAACATTGATCCGGCCATTCATTTCTTTCAGCATTGCCGTTCGGTTACAAGCGTCTCATAAAGATTCACTTTGCTCTCGGGAGATTTGTGATTTGCGTGAGATGACACATCTATCAACTCGCTTCTACATAAAATACTATCTACCGAAATTATGATGTAATCGCCATGCCGACATTCGGTAAAATATCTCCGAATCTTTTGGTGATACTTGATAGTCATACACGAGAGTTGATTAGCCATATCAATCCTGTTGTTAGATAGGAAGAAGGTGGACCAGAAGACTAACTACAATTTATATTATATGTTGAGCGGAATGCTTTTATTAACCTAACTAAACATTCAACTCTTATAGAAAACAAATCAAATACCGAAAAGAAAATCGCTGGTCAACAGACCTCCAAAAACTTCATGGTGTCAAATAATATTTCACTCTACAATTACAGTATTTAGATCAACTATAAATCACCGTTAAACAAAAGCAAAACAAACAAGCACAATTATCATATTTGCTAATAAAGAACCCCCAACCATCCCACCTGCACCATCGGCTGAAGTTTCAGTCTCTGGGTCAGTCGAATTAGATAGTAAGACACCGGCATCAAGACTTTCAGCTTCTGGAGTTTCATCTTGGGAAACATCCGTCTCAATCACATCAGCAACAATATTATCTTCAGTTTCACCTATCTCCTTGTGTTCTAACAAGTGACCAGCAGAATTCGAAAGTTGGTCTACACC